TTCGGGTGTAGACAGTAACTATCAAAGAGTGTGTATCAGTTTCTTTAGAGCTTTTCGTTGTTGTGCTGTTAGTTGGTTGTTGTCTCTCTTCCATCGAGTTAGTGATACTATCGTTTGCCTTATTTCTTGTTGAGTTTCTTCACTCATTCCTGCCGTTTTAAGTGATGACTCTAATGCCGCAAAGAATTTCAGTTTTGAAGCGTCCTTCGTGTTATAGTTTAATCCTTTTTGGAGCAGTTGTTCTTCTGTTGTCGTTAGATGTTGCTTCGATAGGTTGACCACACAACGCAAACAGTTGTATATTGTGTATGAGGTTGTGCAACTCCGTGAATTGATCAAGTTAGACATTAACACCTTCAGATACCTACTCAATGTTACGATGGTTAGGCGTCTGCACACAACACCGAAGGTCCTGGGTTCGAATCCTGCGGGGTGTAGGAATCATGGATGCACACTGTCACTGATGAGTCCTATACCAGGATGAAACGGCCGTCTTTCAGTGCTTCGAAGTTTCTTCTAACGGTGGTTTAACATTGACTGACTCATGGTTTCAAAAAATTAATAATCAGTTTTTTCATTAATAACTCATATATTACAATCAGTAGAATAGTTAAATATTCAAAATACATTACTATCACTACTACATTATTACCAATACATTACTGTATCGTCATACAATACACACACATTATGAATAATATTATTACTATTATAAAATATATGTAAATATTATTGTCAGCTTTTTGATTATGCAAAACATGGTGGTGCCAAGAATTCAAATTCATTTTTTCCAATCTAAAAATGCATAAAATTTGAATAAATTTTCATTGAAATTACCAGGTTTTTTCGCAGCTCGCTGACTCGCTCGCTCGTTCACTCTCTCAGAAAAAGCCACTAATCAACAGACATGTGTAGAAATGATTTTCTTTTTTAATGTTCTTTGTATAATGAGATTTATTTTTTGTGAATAAATGAATAAAGTAATCGGAATTGGTTGTAAATCGCTGGTCAATATCGATCGATCAACTATGAAAAAAATGTGTGTTCTCACTGTTATCCATAGTGTTGTCAGAATGACAATTAACTTACGTTTACATCACGTACTTACTTTAAGAAAATACTCATGAGTTATTTTTTTCAAATCATATCAGACCGGGTTTCGATTGAAATCACGATTTGATCATTGTTTTAGACTATGATTAGAAGAAATGTATAAGCAATGGTCGTCTGTTTCGTCCTAGTATTGTGGTGCGCGCTACTTATAAGTAGTATATGACGTGAGTGTCAACGTAATGTCTGGCAGCAGCAGAAGATGGGGGAAGATCAAGAAAGGAAGAAGAGTGGGAACACAATGGGATTTGTATGAAACGCATGAATAGTAGTGACAATGGATTGATGTTTTGCAACAGGAACAGTCCAGTTCGATATGATGAACTGATATTTTGCAAATGAACGATTTACGATATGATTTTCCTATTTTACTGAGTAACTCTTTAATTTTCGTTAAATACAATCCGGCTGCCCCACCTGTGTTCTTGTTCACTACACTATGACACTGATCAACATTCGTGATTATTGCTTAGTGGTTTAGACGTGAGGTGTTTGTGTATGAGACAGAAGGGTTGATTTTCTGTGAGCACGGCGTTGTGAATGTACACTGTTGAGAAGTCTCATATTAAGACGAAACGGCTGTCCGTCCAATGCTTTCAGGTTGAAATGTTTTATCAATAATAAAAACTAATAATAATAATAATGGCTTTATTAAATATGAAGTAATTTGCTAAACTATTCACTCAGACCGCTAGTATGCTATCTGGATATAAAGTCTCAAAACACTTGAGTTATTTTCATGGTTGAAACTATGAATGACAAATGAAGATTAATATCAGATGAGGTTAGTCACTCTCATCCTTTCTCTTTCTTCTGATGGTTCATTGGATTGTGAAGACATCAAGATTACAGAGGAAGATAGAAATGCAGCTAGATGCGTTAGACTTCACAGATGACTGAGTTATCCTATCCTATACACGATAAGAAATTCAGTGGAAGACAGACAATATAGCGCTAGACCTTGTACCAGTAGGTCTCAACATACAGAAGGGAAAAAACAGTATCCTATGATGCCACAAAGCATTCAACAAGTAAATCACAATTAAGGAAGAAGTCTTTAACGATGTCAAGACCTTCACAAACCTGGTCAGCATCATTGATAAACAAGATGGATCTGATGAAGATGTAAAGATATAGATTGGCAAAGTACGTGCTACATTTCTACAATTGAACAACACCTCGAACTCAGAACAACAGTCTGGCAGCTAACCCCAAAAGTCAAAATTTTCAATAAGAACGTCGAAATCGTTCTACTGTATGGAGCGGAAACTTACGGAACCACGAAAACCATCGTCCACAAGATACAAGTGTTCATTAACAATTGTATAGACAAGATACTACACATCCAGTGGCCGAACGCCATCAGCAACAACTTGCTGTGGCGGAGAACAAACCAGATCCCAGCAAACGAAGAAATCAGGCTGAAGCGCTGGAGGTGGATAGGACACATGTTACGGAAAGCACTCAACTACATCAAAAGACAAGCCCTCACTTGTAACCCGCAAGGCGAAAAGAAAACAGGTAGACCAAATTACACATTACAACGAGAATTGGAAGCAGACATGAGAGGAATGAACAACCCAGGAAAGAGAAGGTTGGAGAATGCTGGGCGGGGTGGTTAAAGCAGGCGTAAGTTATCAGATCAGTAGACTTATAGATACCGTTCATTAATATTTGAATCTGTTTATATTTTCATCTTGGTATTAATTTTAGAGACGTGAATTTGGTGAGTGTTTATTGAATAAAACTCGTCTTTGGTTGGATGTCCTTACTACATCTTGGAATCGATGTTCATTCCGTGACTGTAGCCCTGTCCTCTTCTTTTCACAAATGTCATCACGTTACGTTTTTTCGTTACTGAGTCCAGTTAACCACTTTTTTGTATAGTGAAGTGAAGATTTACCTTGAAATCACGAATGAATCATAGTTAGATCACCATTAGAAACCCGGAAGCACTGAATGGCCTTTTCATCCTGTTAAGGGAGTCATCAGCAGTGCCCATCAATGACTCCTGCTGCTCACAGGAACTTTGGTCTTGCTTACAAAATCTCAACCTCTGGACCACTGAGACTAATCAAACTAGGGATTTAGCGCAACCTCACCCATTGCCTTTGGTGTAGTTACTGCCTATTCCCGACAGGGCTGAACTCCACTCGTTGTTTGAATCTTTATATTGACCTTTACAACTGCAGTCGATCAGTCTCTCATATGGCACATATACACCTTGTGCAGATAGTCTCAATTTTACTTTCAGACAATTAAATAACAGAAACAATCCGTACACAATGCACATAGGTCATAGCAGCTTGATCCATTTACAGTTAAGGTTGCACAACTCCGTGGATTGATCGAAGTTAGACATGAACACCGTTAGATACCAGCTCAATGGTCCAGAGGTTAGGCGTTCTTGTGCAAGACCAAAGGTCCTGGGTTCGAATCCTGCGGGGTGCAGGAGTCGTGGATGCGCACTGCCACTGATGAGTCCTATACCAGGACAAAAAGGCCATCTAATGCTTCTAGGTTTCTCCTAATGGTGATCTAACATTGATCGATTCATGATTTCAAATGTGTAACTTAACAGTCTTCCCGACTCCGTAATACAGTTGTATACATCAAAAAGGGACGTAATTCATCTGAAAAATAGTGTGATGTATTTCGAACAATCTGGTCACACATATATACACTTGTCAAGGCATTTTATATGAAGATGAATAAAAGGTCAATTAAATAAAAGTTCAAATAGACTGTAAGGTGATAATTGTAAATAAACGAGAGAGAAAATTAACGTAATACGAAAAGAATAAGAAAGGGTGGCTTCAAAATCAGCTAACGTCAGATGAGCCGATTAATGTGGGAAATAGAAAACCATGTTCATTGATCGCAAAACATATAATTGAGACAGGGCATAAGACTGACATCAAGACAGCTTTCGAAACATTGTATAGAAACATTGAAGGACAAATTTTGAGGTTTATGGAGGCCTTGGCTATTAGAAAATTAAAACCCCCCTTATTTGTGCAGAAACTCAACTTGCCTTGATTGGTTTCACATTTTCATACATAAATATTCATGTATATTAGAGAGTAAAGCAGCCTGATGACAATCTAATCGAAAATAACAATATTGTTCGCTTATGTGTTGTTCTAATTTGTCGTAACCTTGAATTTACTTTGGTAATCTTTAAGCCTAGGGTAATGTGACAATTTTCCTACCCTCTTTCTTATTCTTTTCATATTACGTTAATTTTCTCTCTCTCCTTTATTTACAATTATCACCTTACAGTCTATTTGAACTTTTATTTAATTGACCTTTTATTCAACTTCATATAAAATGCCTTGACAAGTGTTCGCGCACAATACCGAAGGTCCTGGGTTCGAATCCTGAGGGGTGCAGGAGTCGTGGGTGCGCACTGTCACTGATGAGTCCCATACCAGGACGAAACGTCCGTCTCTCGGTGCTTCCAGGTTTCTAATGGTGGTCTAACAGTGATCGGTTCATGGTTTTAAAAATGTGTAACTTAACAATCTTCACAACTCCGTAATGCAAGTGTATATATGTGTGACCAGATTGTTCGAAATGTATAGCGCGCAAATACATAACACTATTTTTCAGATCAATTACGTCCATTTTTGATGTATACAACTGTATTACGGAGTCGGGAAGACTGTTAAGTTACACATTTGAAATCATGAATCGATCAATGTTAGACCACCATTAGGAGAAACCTAGAAGCATTAAATGGCCTTTTCAGATAAACTCTAGGTCTTCTCATTGTTCTATGAAAATTTATAAAAAGGGAATAATTGTTTTAAAAAGGGATGATCGAAGCAACCAATAGAAATAAAGTCTGGAGTTTTACAAATCATCATAATCACATAAAAACACAGTATTTCCATTTCGATCAATAATTTATTCAAATAACAATCATAATTGTGCTGAAAATTAAAATCTCTTTTTGTTTATCATTTGTCCATGTAAGAAAAATCAGTAAGTAGTAGTAGTATAGTTGATGTGAACACAAATATTCAATGTCCAAATGATACTACTGAGATGAGATGATTTGATTGATCGGATTTTTTTATTGTGTAGCTAGAAAAATCTTTTTGTTATAAAAAAAGAAGAGTACAAACTCAGAAAATAGAAATAGAAAGTTTCTTTTCGCAAATAGACAAATAGACAATCACATTTCGATGAGGTATTTGAAAAAAGAGGTCGAGAAAAAAACATTTGGGGAGAATTAACACGTTTATGTGGACTTACATCATAGTGTTCTAAAGTGTTTGGTTTTATTGTTGAGATACAAAAAGAAAATATATTGGTTACTAGCAACTGAAAGAGAGAAAGTTCACTACTGTATTGATGATTTTTTTTTAATCCGATTTTCTATCATTGATCCTCATCCTCATCAACATCATTATACTGATTGGATATTGATTTTTGATCGTGGCAATGTAGTGATCACTGAATGACGGTGCATTTGATCATTTTGACTGATTGATGATGCCTGATGATGGTCATCCCCATCGTCATCCTCGTCATCATCAACACAACAACTACTCGTATCAATTTTCATAATTTGTTGATTCTTATCTCGTTTAAATCGATTACCAATATGTTTTAAACCAATTACTAAAATAATTGACGTAATCAGCAATAGACATGATGTGCCACAAACTAAATATGGAAATATGACATGTCCATATAATTGAATTAAACGACCAGCAGTAAATTGTAATAAAGTTGCACCCAGAGAACTACCAAAATTTACAATAATAATTAAAAACCCGGTGATTTCATTTGATTGATTAATACAAGCTAAAGTTGCAGGGAATAATGGACTTTTAAATAAACCGAACAATGTAGTACATAGAAAAAACCATACTTTCTCATATGGTAAACTAATCATTCCAACAGAACTTAACAATGTACCGATTGTTAATGATAACAAGATAATATTTTCTGATATACATAATGAAATGAAAAAGGTGAAAATACGTGCTACACAAAAACTTATCCAATAAATTAGATTAATTAAATAACTATCAAATAAATTAAATTGAATTGGACCATATAATGTGTAAATGAATAGAAATTTACCGAAAACACGTTCATTACCAACAATAGTGAAAAATGTTATAAAAATACAACAAATTATGAGAACATTAATTTTTTTTAAAGTTTTTAATTTTTCTCGATAAAATTTTTGTAAGGAATGTTTGATAAAGTTCAATGATAGTTTTGATTTAAATGATAATTTGGATTTGTTGGGCAATTTTGAATTATCCGATGTAATCTGTTGATGAATGGATGGGGAAAGAATAAAAATAGAAAATATTGTTTAGTGATGAATTTTACTGGGAAAATAGATATAGATATGTATACATGCATTAAAATACTAATGTTTGTCATGATACATTCTCTCAAGTAACGCCTTAATACCATGCTTACACTGTTGGCAAGTCTATCATGCACTTACTCATTGAAGATTGAACATTAGTACAATTGGATGCCAATTCAGTAGTCAACAGGTTCACAACGTTGGTGAACGAGACTGAAGGTCTTTGATTCCGACTGGCATTATTGACAAGATCAAGTATACTCACACTGTTGATGAGTCTCCTAGTCAGTCAGTCCGTCAGTCAGTCAGTCAGTCAGTCAGATGTAACGTAGAACTTCGTACGTAAGTACATCAGTTCATGTTGCCATACCACATCAGCACAGAGATATAATTGTCAATTCAAATCCAATAGTAGTAGAGGTAAGGAGAGGTTAGGTTTAGAAGATATTATTCAAGAAGTATAATTCAGTGAGAAAAGTTTAGAAAGTCAAAAGTAGAGGTGTTAAAGAATCCAGAAGATTAGCATTTGAGAGAACAAAGAGAAAAAATGCACCGGCGCCATTGTAAACGGTTTGAAGCCATGTCATTCAGAGTCTCTAACCGTCGATTATTATCATCTCGTGGACCCCGACGAGGTAGTCGACAACTACCGACATGGCTAAGTCCACTCGTCAATGATTTCATGGATTTCTGCCATGTTTTGGTTTGGGTGCCCCTAGCTTTCTTCCAACCCATTCCTACAGTACAAAATAAAGCTCGTCGAGGCAGTCGGTAGTTGGGTATTCGTAACACATATCCCAACCACCTCAACTGATGAAGTTTCATTACTTCATGTATTGATCTACCATTCTTACCTAGAACTCGTTTCCTAATAACAGCCCCATGGCAGGACAGAACGGCCGTCTTTAAGTACTTCCAGCTTTCTAAACATGGTGGTCTAACAATCATTGATTCACGAGTTCAATACAAAACAAATCTATCCATAACTCTATAATGAAAAATTGTACAGTATGCTCATTAGTGACTAGCTTCGTGAAGAAATTCTCGGAATTCTATTGAAAAAACATGACCAGTGGAGTTCAACCCTATCGAAGATGAATGAGTGAGGTTGCACGAAATTCTTAAACTGACCAGAGTTAGTCATTAACACTGCCTAGTGGTCCACAGGTTAGGCGTTCTTGTGCGAGATCGAAGGTCCTGAGTTCAAATCCTGCTAGTAGCAGGAGTCGTGGATACGCACTGTCACTGACGAGTCCTATACCCGGACAAAACAGCCATCCAGCCCTCCCAAGTTTCCAAAAATGATTTCAGTACTAAAAATTAAAACGATCGTTGCGGATATATTCGTTTTGTTTTATTCTCATTTAGAAAAAATGTTTCATAAATACTAAATTGTCAATTATTTGTTCGCCATCTTTTTTTACTCAAAACAAAAAGATATTTGGCAGTGTCAGTCTTTTTTTATCAAAACTCATCTATATGAATATATATATATATATATATATATATATATACATCATTGAAGCCTATAAACTCATCATCCCTTTGAAATTATCAAGCAACAATCACTCTGACACAAAACACATTATCGATTTCAGGCAGATAAACAAACAGCAAGCAAACAAAACACACAAAATGGCGGTTATTCAATTTGTTTTGTTTATTTACTTATTGTGTGATTCAATAGTCAACATTCTTTCTTTTATAAATGGTAAAGTAAAATTTTATAGTTTTTGGAAACAAGATAAATGTGAATAAGTTTTTAGTAGGGTTGCACTTAAATTATTTTGACAATAGTAATAGTAAGTAGAGAAACGGTGAATGGCAAATCGATTTAAGTCCTCCTAGTCTACATGAAGTTGAGAAAGCTATAGGAAATCTAAAGCGAGGTAGATCAGCAGGTTCTGATAGGCTTAGCCCTGAGATGTTTAAGGATGGTGGTCCAGTTTTAACAGTTAGACTGACCGAGATCCTAGGTAGAATCTGGGAACTGGACGTAATCTCATCTGACTGGTCTCAGTCGCTATTTGTCCCAATCTACAAGAAAGGACAAAAGTCTTCTTGTGACGATCACAGGGGAATAAGTCTAACTAATATAGTTTCTAAATTGTTAGCCTTGATTAATTATACTTAGACGTCTAACTAGAGCAGGTGAAGAGCAGACTCGAGAAAACCAGGCTGGTTTTCGATCTGGACGTGGTTGTATAGACCACATCTTCACACTACGACAGGTCCTGGAACACAGACACACATTTAGACGTCCTACAATAGTCGTGTTCCTGAACCTAAAAGCGGCATTTGACTCAGTGGCAGTGTCTTTCATTGAAAGGTGTACCAAAGAAGTACATTAACCTTATATAAGCTCTCTACTCGAACAACACTGGTCGGGTGAGAGCATATGGCGAACTGTCATCTGAATTCTCTACTTCAAGTGGTGTCCGTCAGGGCTGTCCACTCTCTCCTTTCTTGTTTAACGGTGAATAGATAAATTTGAGTTCAAACAAACCAGTGTGAAATAGTTACTGACTGAAGACAATAGGAGAAACAGTCGAGTAATGTCACAAATTTTGGCTGAAGTAACCGATTTCAAACATTGGATCCCTATTCTATGTGCTACAGAAGAAGTTAGGTACCCACTTCAGTCCTCAGTGACGAGGTCATGAATATTCACTACTGAACAATCCTAAACTAAGACAAAATAGCTGTTCAAAGAATGCTGAATTACTAATTTTTCTGGTTAGCAGTTTTTTTAGGCAAATTAGTTTTCTACGGAATGGAATTTCTAACCGTATGCCCGACGATGCTCGTTTATTGGGGGCTTGGGACCGGCAGTAGCTCCAGTGTCCCTCGGCGGAGTTTTTCCATTCTATAGTGATGATGATTTTTCTCAATGAACAAAGGAAATCAATAGGACTAACTGATATGTAATAGTGAAAGTCAAATGTGATTGGTCATCACGTGTACGGAGTAATAGACACTTAATTAACTGACAGTTATATATTTTCTTCCAGCTCCCCTCGTTGATACCTACTCTGGACTCACTGAGTGCAACTGTTTCGGATAAAATATTGTTCATTGCTTGATCTAGTCCCGTACTATGATTGTGGATCATGTATGTGGTTTATCATGATCCATTTTCTGTGTAGTATGTCGTTCAAGTGTCTAATTTGATGGTAGGATATAACTATGGTCACCCATTTATAGTTGTTGTGTATAACACCGTGGATAAAGAACAAATCGAAAAACACACACACGTTATGAATAGTAGTAAGTATACAAACAAAATTTTGATTCATATATGTATATACAATAATTCTAAGACATGTTTTAAGTTCTAGGCGACTGTTTTGTCCCAGTATGGGACTCATCAACAATACGCATCCGTGACTCCCCGACATGAAAACCAAACATAGGACTTGAGGTCTCGAATGCAAATGCTTAACCTCTAGACCACTGTGCCGGGATCCAACGGTATTATTATGTATTTTCTATCAATTCATGGTCATTCATGACCTTATCCAAGGTCCTAGTGTGGCGTGAGCTACTTATAAGTAGTATATGATGTGAGTGTCAACCTAATGTCTGGCAGCAGAAGAGAAGGGGAAGATCAAAAAAGGAAGAGTTAGAACACAATGGAATGTGTATGAAACGCATGAATAGTGACAATGGATTGTGATGTTTTGCAACAGGAACAGTTCAGTTAGGGATGATGAACTGATATTTTGCAAATTAACGATTCACGATATGGTTTTCCGATTTTACTGAGTAACTCTGTAATTTAGATAAATACAATTCGATTGCCCCACCTGTGTTCTCCTTTACTACACTAGATTCGATTCTCTCCTGCTTGGTTTTGTTGACGCGCATTGCTGATGAGTCCCATACTAGGAGAAAACGGCAGACTGCCTCGACAAGCGATGTTTTCCGATGTAGAATTAGGTTGGAAGAAAGCTAGCGGTGGCCAGACCAAAACATGGCACAAATTCAGGAAGTCACTGACAACTGGAGTAATGTTGGTAGTTGTCGACTACCTGGTTTGGGTCCGCGAAATGATGGTGATCGATGGTTAGAGAATCCTTTTGGTTACCGCTAATACGTCTACTACATCTAACAATATGAGATTTTAATTGGTGTCAGGTTCGTCACTAGATATGCTTGAAACTATTACGAGTTCACCTCAGTCGATAAACGCGAAATAAACAATGAACCAGCGTCCAGGTAGGCTACCCTGATCTGCTGACTAACGAAAAGTCTTGATGTAACGTAGAAAATATAGTCTACAAACACCCAACAAGCACAATACAATCAGTCACATAAATCTCGTTTATTTATGCATCATAGAAACGTCCTTGGGACGGTCACAGAAATAGCACACTAAAATGACACAGCAACCAATCACAGCCAAGGATTTTCCTTGTGGGAATTGAAATCTCAAAGTCAGTTGATCAGCCCATGCTCGGAAACATGAAATCCAAAATAAAGCATTTACCAAGCGAATTCTAGGGATCCAACATCCCCCTTGACCGGCAACTGTATTTCCGCACTAATTTGGTATGACAACTTGAACTGATGTACTTATGTACAAAGTTCAGAGCTGTAGCTGAATGGCTGACGAACACTGATTTGTATCTGTTAGGATATTTATCCAATATCCTAAGAGAATTATTGGTCAATTCCTACTGGTCAATTTTATGGTCGTCCTAGATATCAATGTCACGTGCTCCAATTTTGTTTCTTATTGGTTGTGCTGACTATCAATGTCACTTCAAATGTTACTTCCTATTGATCGTCTTAACTCTCAATGTCACAGACTTCGATGCTGTTTCCTATTCGACCAAAATGTATAAATAAGCATTATTTGTAACGTTTTATGACCAGGACCAGGACCCGGTCCCGGATCCCTAGTCCGGGATCCTGATTATCTTCTGGATTCGGACCTCGTACTTTCCGGATGCTTGTAGAATACAGGATTCTACTTCAAATCAAGTCTTGTCTTCTTTTACTCAATATGGGGGGGGTTGGGATAATCGGATTTGAGTAGCATATCGTGTCACGGGCCGGATCCTCGATGCTCGCGCTCTCGCATTTTCCGACTAAGGTAAACTCGTCATAGTTCAACTATATATCAAGTTGACATGTTTCCATGCAAGCATAACATTATCACATCAATTGCTTAAAAACCCCAATTTATATCACACACTCGTCATAACAATAAACCAGTGAATTTATTTTTTTTTTTTGGTCATAGGAAAATTAAATGTAACAAAATGAAATAAATCGATTTTTCTCAAAAAAAAAATAAAACTCTAAAAACAAAATCATCAAAATCACTTACTTCTTTATTCATATTATTATCATTATCAATATCCTTATTATCATGATGATGATTGTTGCATTTAAACAAAATCATATTATTGAATGTTGAATTAGTTAAATGATCAATGAAAATAATGATTAAAAAGTAGAAAACACAAAACAAAACAATAGTTGCAATAATTGAATAAGGTATAACAGCATTGATTAAAGCTAAATGAGTTGAATTGATTTGGTTTTGATGATGTTGAAGTTGAGGAGGATTATCATTATTTGATTGTGAATTGTCCAAATTTGTTTGAATGGAATGATTAGTACTACTGTTGTTGTTTGGAATTGTAAATGGTTTCACTAGTAAAGGAGATATGGCTGCACCTAAACCATAACCGGAATGCATTAAACTAAATGGTCCAGCAGCTTTTTCTTGCCAAATTGAAGCGAGTAGTGGATTACCGTCTAACAATAATAATAATAATAGAATTTTTTGAGAAAAAAAAACAGAAGAAATTAGAGAGTTTTGCATACGATTTTAAGCATGGAAACGAAAGGAATTATTACTTCACTTCATTGACATACAAGCCAGTGGATCTATCTGGACTCAATAGTGTAAGATACTGATGATCGTGTCCCCGGGGTGTACATCAACTCTAGGAGAGATTGTTCAGCTCTACAACTCAATGTTATGACTACGCCAGCAAGACCCTGGGAAGCAGCAGCAAGGCTTCCAGATACACGAAGAGTAAATCGAGCTGCTTCTTTATTTTGACAGGGTGAAATCAGATTAATGATTTTACTAGGATCCTGTATGCGGGTTTCCGAGACACAGCATACATCGATGGCACGATATTCTAAAGTCCTAGCTAATGATGCCTGTTGCCCTATTTGACACAATGTCCGTACATTAAATACTCCAACATGTAGTCTAGAACGTGGTTTCAAGAGACCAGGAATGATGTTTCGTGAACTCGCATTGTTTGCATTAGCGGTGCAGTGAGATAAGGGAATGTGAGAAGAGTTAGTCGTGGAGATAAGAGAGGTATTAGGGGGTGTTTCTTGAGGAACCTGAAAAGGAAGATAGATTACTGTTGGTCTTAGAGACCTGGGTGCGTGACCGCAGAGTCCAAGGGACAACTGATTGAGGCCGGTCACGCACGGCCTTTTTATGAAGGAGTTTTTGAGTATTAGCTCCGCTCTTAAAGGCCCTTAGTCGGCACCCTTACCCAAGGAGACGGAAAGCCGTGAGTTAGGTGAGGTGTGACATTTTTAGGGTCAACATTTCTAACCCTTCCTTCTGTTGTAAGAAGGCAGCATCGTTACAAATGCTGTTTGTCCGAGGGATACACCTTACTGCTGTCACACCCCTCTGCAGTCAGTAGTACGAATTCGCCCTCAAACCTTGGGTAGCTGCTTTTAGTCTCATCGTTCTCCAATCGACCTGCCTGGCATGATAGAACCTTCAGGAACATATGTTGCAGCCAGTATAGCTCGATTGGGTCATCACGATAGTCAAGCCCGACCACCACGTAAAGGTGGCAGCTATGGTCGGGGCTAACAGAACAAAGTGTAAGGCACTGGCGTTTGTGTCCCAGAATAAACATCAACCTGGAAATATTGCGCGAATATCCTGAATTCCACCACTAACCACCATCCATCAGTGTTTACAATACTTCATCGGGATTTTTGTTTCCCTTGTTACAAGTACTTTGTTTTCAAACAAAACTAAAGATATAAACAGCTCATAACAGTTGTAATCATTTCAAATAAGATAGTTTGCATACATTTTAATATACTCTATAGAATATTGATAAATCGATAATTTGACTGTGAAAACCTTGTACTTATTCATACAAATGTAGCATATATGTACATATATATATACATAAATGCGTCTATACATAGATATCTGTCACTTCAAAAGAAAATCTCTCCTCCCCAAAACAAAAGCAACCGAACATGTTTGTTTGCATTTCATCAAGTTGACAGTAAACTAGACCGTATTCTCTTTTCGATTATTCTTCAGAATTGTTTTTTTAAAACAGAAAAACAAACAAATGAGTTGGTTAAACAGTACTGTGAAAAAAAGTGCACATATCATACGATGTAAATTTTACTTTTTCTGAATAACAAACGTCATAAAACAATTGATTACGTTTTTGTGAAGTAAATACAAAACTCTGTGACAACAATGTTAAACAAGAGTAAATTTTCTTACACAATTGGAATCATGTTAGATTGCTATTAGAAGCGTGGAAGCGCTGAAAGATAGATAGCCGTTTCATCCTGATATGGGCTTCATCAGTGACAGTACGCATACACAACTACTGCTGCTCGCGGGATTCGAACTCAGAACCTTCAACGCGAATGCCTAACCTCTGGATCAATGAGTCAGCATTGAAAGTGTGTTATTGTCTAACGTTAATCGATTTAAGGATTTTGTGCGACTTCGTCCATGTGCTCACTAGTAACTAGCTTAGTGAGGAAGTTCTCGGAGTTCTAGTAAGAATATGTGACCGGTGGAGTTCAACTATGATGGGTGTAGGTAGTGACAACTGGAGACAATAGGTGAGGTTGAGCAAAATCCTTAGACCAATCAAAGTTACACAATAACACCGCCGGATGCTGGCTTAGTGGTCCAGATGTTAGGCGTTCGTATGCAAGACTGGAGCTCCTGAGTCCGAATCCCGTGAGCAGCAGGAGTTGTGCATGCGTACTGGCACTGATGAGTCCCATACCTGGACAGAACAAACGTTCATTGCTTCCAGGTTCCCGAAGATGATTCTTCCATGATTTCAGTGTGTAAAATCAATGATACCCTATAACACTATAATGTAAATATGTTTTCCATAAAAATATTAATCCTTTAACTTGAAAAATGACTCAAGTATGTGAAGACATTTGGTGAGGGTGAAAATCAATCTACAGTGTTGCACGACCTCATTTATTGTCTTCGGTGGAGAGAGGGAATCGCTTCACGCCAGACAGGGTTGAACTTACTAAAACTCCGAGAATTCCCTCACGAAGTTAGACACTAGTGAAAACATAGTAATTTTCACTGGAGGGTTGTGAAGATTACTTTCAACCAAAACCAAAATCAGGAATTTCAGTACAAATTTCAAGATAGTTCTACTTTATGGAGCGGAAACGTGGAGAACTACCAAAGTCATCATCCAGAAGATACAAGTATTTATGAACAGTTGTCTTCGCAAAATACTTCGTATTCGTTGGCCTGACACCATCAGCAACAACCTACTGTCGGAGAAAACAAACCAGATTCCAGTGGAGGAGGAAATGAGGAAGAAGCGGTGGAAGTGGATAGGACACACTACGGAAAGCACCTAACTGCATCACCAGACAAGCCCTCACTTGGAACCCTCATGGTCAAAAGGAAAAGAGGAGTGCCAAGGAACACATTACGCTGAGAAATAGAGAAAGATATGAGAAGAATGAACAAACATTGGAGGGAGCTGGAGAAGGAAGCCCAGGACAGAGTTGGTTGGAGAAAACTGGTGGGCGGCCTATGCTCGATTGGGGATAACAGGCGTAAGTAAGTAAGTAAGGTTGTGGAGATTTTTGAGTTTGATTGAAATCGATTGCCTATAATCAGGGACTGTAGATACACACCGCTGAAGAATCCTATACTAGGATAAAAAAAAACAGCCATCCAATGCTTCTAGGTATCTAGTGGTGGCTTAATATCGATCTATTTATAATTTCAACGGAAACTCAACAATCTTCACAAACCTTTTAGTAAAATGAAAATAACTGATGCTGAATTGAATAGTTGATGAAATAAGACTTCAACTTATACTATTGTTATGTTTTGTATTTGATACACTAACTAAATTCACCTGAGAAATATACCAATCAGAATGTGATTTGGTATTCATGACCTTGAGTCAGTGGTTTGATTCTTATTGGTCCGCAATTCTATAGCTTTGTTTGACCTTGCCTTTGAGTACAGAAATTACAAACCAACTTCCACTACTGATATTTATTTATTTGTAGTTCAGATAGATTTAGTTTGTACACAACCAAGAAAGATCTTTCGTAAGGACTGAAAAATTTTTAGGCGATGAAGGGAGAAACAACAAATTGACCTTGAGAAAAGTTATCGATTGAAGTCTAAAACGAGTTATAAATTAATGTAAAGAATTAGTGTTAGAAATTACAGTTTTAAGCTCGAATTCGACATCAGCTTTAATGCTAATATGTTGTTATTTACTTATAGGCTAGAATAAAATGTTGTGTCTAAATCCAAATCTCTTAAATCTGGTTGGTTCGTTCACATAAATTCATAGAATCCCGCCGAACAAATTACACTATGACATAGTGTTCATTCATTGAAAAACTGACTTTTAGTGGCTGCGTTACATTCGATCTCGGGCTCATTAGTTTAGTGTCCCGTGATCCAGTTTGGACAAACAGGAAAAAAATCCCACCTTCATTCACCCTTAATCATGCCTAGACGAATCCAGCTTATGAGACGGCAGTAATGAGAAACCAAATACAAATTCGGTTGGATAAGTTTATTGCAAAACAATTGTTCATGCATTCATGTAAGCAGGCAGAAAAAGAGAATGGAAAGCGTACAAGCAAAGTTGAGTGAAGTGGAGAAGACCACCATGCCAACTTCATGCAATTAAACTTGACTCAGTTTTTCATAGTCAGACAAAAATAGGCTAGACATGTAACAAGCGAATTGAACACACACGCACTCGAACAGGAAAAATCAAAATAGGAGTGAATAGTTTACAACGTCAAAAAACCGAGAGAATAATAATCACTCAGGCAGAATGGATTGGTGATTTGTGTCCGAAGACTTGGGGGATAAATCCTATGGACTTGACATAAAAGTACCATGCCCTACAGAACCCTTCAAATATGGTTTAACAATAACAAAAAAGCGCTCGTTTTATACAGAGTTTATTATTATTTGACAAAATCAATTCTGAATACTAAACAGTCGTGAATGCATATATACATATATATATATGACTTTTCTTTCGACAAGTAGTGTAAACAGGTTTATATATAAATACAGTACTCAAGAAAGGGCTTCAAGTGAATACTGATTTCCAAGGGTAAGAAAACTTTGGAGGCCTAGAAAAATAAGCTTTCTAACTCTTTGAAAAATAATAACAGTAATACTAAAAACATAATGTTCGTCTCAGCAACATTAAAGTTATCGGTCTTCTTACTTACGTACTTACTTAGGTACATCTTTATGTCTCGGCGAGTATAGGCCACTGACTGACTCTCTCCTCCACATTGGTTTTCAGTTGTTCCCAATCTCTAGCCTTTGTTTTAATGTTTTCCTTCAAATCCCTGATGTAATATGCTTGTCGAATTATCTTTTCACTTTCCTTTGAAGATTCTTCTTAGTTAGGATTTGTCTGATGATACAGTCGGGTTATTTCTGCAATGTGATTTTCTTATCCACCTCCGACATTTTCTCC